ACCTACTTGCATTTGAATACAATAACTTGAGAATTCAGTGATAACAGATTGATGGGCTTAAAGGGAGGGTGTCACTAATTCTCTTCAGCCAGGAAAGTTAACATCAGGAAATATTTGGAGAGAAGAAAGTAATGCCAGACAGAACTGGAAGGATACTTTAATCAATGCTCTGCGTTCTAAGACTGTAAAGAACTAATTTTTAAAGATATTTTATTTTTTTTATTTTATGTGTGTGAGTGTCCTGCCTGCATGTGTGTAAGTCCACCCATGTGTGCAGTGCCCACAGAGGCTACAAGAGGGTGTTGGAGCCCCTGGAACTAGGGTTAGTTACGAATGCTTTTTAGCTTTGTGTGGGTGCTGGAAACCAAACCCAGGTCCTCTGCAAGAGTAGCCAATACACTGAGCCATCTCTCCAGCCCCAAGAACGCATCCTTTTCATTTCATGTTAACACTGCTAAGAATTACTGTAGAGCCCTGAGAGGTTAACCAGCAAGATAATGACCCATTCTTTAATTTACATGACTGCAGAAGAATGCCAATCTCCCAGTACTCAAAAGCAGTAAACACTCACTTTGGAATCTACTTGGGGCAAAAAAAATGTGAAATAAAATTTAACTCAGCTTTAGTATCACATTCCCGTGTGTGTGTACATGTGCATGTGTGTCTGTGGGGTCGGGGGTTGCTTTGGTTTTGGTGAGAGAGGGTCTCTCTGTCTTGCCCAGGTAGTTCTCAAAATTCCCATCCCTCCACCTCAGTCTCCCGAATAACTGGGATTACAATACACACCACTGTTCTAGACTTGTGTATATTTTAATTGAATCTTCTCAATATTTGTAGTTGAGAATTTAACTCTGAAGGCGGGTCATGATGGCGCATGCCTTTATTCCTAGCACTGGGAGGCAGAGGCCAGCCTGGGCTATAAAGCAGTTTTCAGGCTAGCCACTGCTACATAGTGAGACCCTGTCTCAAACAAACAAATAATTTAATCTTAAAATAGTCACTTAACTGTTTTCAGCATAAAACTATCTGAGAATATCAAACTTCTATCAGAATGGTCAAGAGATTATAACTCTACTTCAGGTTCGGGGAAATGTTAGAGTTTCTAAGGGTGGTTGGCAGGGGCACTGAAGCTGATTCTAAGAACTGAGTATTTGCAACTAAGCCTGAGGGAACCAAAGTCAACCAGCATTTTTCAGGCTTGCAGAACTCAGATTCCATTGTAGACTGCTGGTGATGATAAGGAAGAGAATGAAAGCTGTGGGCCCCTGGGCTAGACACATAGAAACTGCCTGCCTCCTGACCCGTGTGAGTAGTCTATCCCCAAATCCATTACTGACTCACTAACTCCCAAGCCTGAAAACAGTTCTCATCTACGTGGTGGCACACGCCTTTAATCCCAGCACTCAGGAGGCAGAGGCAGGCAGATCTCTGAGTTCAAGGCCAGCCTGGTCTACATAGTGAGTTCCAAGACAGCTGGGGCTATTGGGAGACCGTCTCAAAAAGACAAAAAAAAAAAGTGAGTTGAACACAAGCAGAAACCCTGGGGCCTTCAGAAAATGGGGCACTTACTTCACACTTGTCTGGATTTGAGTGGTGCTTGGAGGACTCAGATCATGGTAGACAGGCAGCTTGTCCTACTGTTTGGAATTCAAGACTGCAGAACCATCTGGCTGACTGTAGCACCTGTGCCACCCCACAGAGGACAAGAGCAGGAAAGAACTGTGTGTACTGCTCCCAGGCTTCTGGTGGATCAAGCCACCTTACTGGTTGTTGGGTACATGAAGTTGGGCAGCACTGAGGGTGGGGCACCTTTAACTGGAGCCCATCTGCCACACAGGGTCGAGTGTGCTGACAGCATCGTGCCAGCCCCTGCCTGCCCTGCATCTTCAGAAGTGACCACCACTCCCGCTGTGGCCAGCCCAGCACCAAGCAAGGCAGGCCCTCCCATAGCAACCACCGCCGTCTCCTCTACAGTGGCTATTGCAGTCCCCCCAGGGCCCATCATGACAATAACCACAGCAGCCCCAGCTATAGTTGCCACTCTGGAGACAATGACAAAGGACAGGTGAGTAGGTTGACCAAAGAGGGCAGGGTGGGACTAGATGAGACTCACAGGCTCAAATGCCACCATCACCTCACCTCCAATCCTGGCATTTATGCAGGAAGACAGATGCCCCACCAGGAGGAGCTGCCTTAAATGGTCCTGTGTAATGCTGCTGCCACCCAGCTATGGCCCACCCTGGGCAGGCTGCCTCCTTAATCAAGAAAACTACCTGGTGATGCAATTTTTTAAAATTTAACTTTAAAATAAATGCTGCATTTGGTAAAGCTGGGAGTTGGAACCAGTTGGACAGCCCAGCTTGCGTCTCCTGCCTGATCAAGTTACTCGGGCCCACTGGACGATAGGATGCACCAGGCCACCCTCAAATCCAGGCCCTGGCATGGCAATAAGGTCCTGGACATGCAGCCTCCACCTACATGAGTTGGGGGGAGGGGTAGGCAGACACGATCTTGAGGTGCCAACAAAGCCCCGATGGGCAGGGTACGGCTCTGCAGGCTGTGGTTTTTTCACCTGTCTTTTGTAACGCATGCAGGAAAAGCTGTTTTTTTGCACTTTGTCCCCAGCTACAGTACAGGATCTCCCTTGGCTTGGAGGTAAAGGACTGAGTAGGGGGAGACCTGACTCCCATAAATGCATGGGAGTGAGGTACTAGTTTGGCCACATGGGGCAAACCCCAGGTCTAGCTACCCAGTGGTCCTGGGAGCTGGTATTGAATCTGGCTGCAAATTTTGACTGCCTTAAAAACAAACAAGATCCTTTGTGCCTGATGGATCTGTCTCTGCACAGGAGGATGGGCTGGCACACTTGGGTAGGTGATTAGCGGTGCCTGGCAAGAGCCAACCCCTGGCATGTAGGAGTGGGCAGAAGCAGAACACTGGGAGGCTCAAACAGGGCAGGCCCATGTTGTCCAGGAAGGGTCTGGAAGTTTAAGTCCTTTTCTAATGTTCTGACCACCTGACAAGGCACCCAATCCCCAATAAACGTACCATTCTTACTGAAAAACTGTGTATTGTTAAGTATAGACACTGAGTCCCCAACCTGTTTGACCACAGGTGACTCTTCCAGCATCTTTGCTATCCCCAGGTCCATTTACAGCTGTGGGATCTCACATTGGAACAGAAATGAAAAGAACAGGTGGGGCCCAATGACATCCCCCCTTTGTGTCACACTCCTACCCCCACCCCAGGCCCATCCTGGGTCATGTGTGCGAAGTGTATCCCCTGGAACTGACTTAGCCCCCAAGGGTCACATGCCTCCCTCCCAGTATGAGCCCTTTGGCCAGTGTCCATCTGCTCAGGTAATAGGGTGCTTCAGTTGTTCCCCCAGCTCTAATCCAAAACATGAAATGCTGGAAAGCAGGGCAGTTCCTCCCCAGAACCTGTCTTATCCATGGACTTCCCAAGTCAGGATCTAAGTATTCAGCCCACGGAAAGACCTGGACACTCTTTTCATAGTTGACCTGAGGTCATCCCATGTCCACCTGTGGGGAGTAGTGATGGGACAGCACTAGAGCTGATGGTCCAAGGTCACTGGTGGCTTCAACCTCCCACAACAGGATCACAGCTCTATAATCTTCATTGGACCATCCCCTCTTTTAGCCTAATGCTCACTACCTAAGAGGGATGGGCTGGATCCAGTAGCTCACCTTTGACACTGATAGCCACCCTGGGACATTCCTCCAGCCTCTATAGTACCCATAACTCTCTGCCTACCTTCTGCCCCATCCAGGCTGCAATTACATAGGCAAAGAAGTTCAGTCCTGGTGGGATTCACAGGCAAGTGGGAGAGGAGAACAGTGACAAGCCCACCAACAGAAATCACCTCAATGACGTGAGATGGGATAACTAGGGACCTCTATGGTGACCCCAGGGGAGAGAGAGGAGTGGCTATATACAGCAGAAGACCCAAGAATTGGATCCCTGTGGGTATTGCCCCTCACTTTGCCATGTTTCCCTTTTCCAGCTGCCTTGAGGACCTTCTTTCCTAAGAGCCTACATTCCTTCCTATCCAGGGTATAACCTTTGTCCTTTGGCCTCAGAACAGTCTCCCAGGGGCTCCTAAGTGTGTTGTCTGTCTCACACACCCTAAAGCCACTCCTAAGGCCCTGGGGAAATTGGGTGGCCATGCATAAAGCAAGGGTATGATGAAGTCTCCTTCCTGCAGCAAAGCTGCTCCCGTGGCCACAGGAGCTTGTAGGCTCAGGCTCCAGAAAAGGCATACAAGAAAAGTATCAACCCTCTGCCCACTTAGTAGACCCTAGAGATGGGACAAAGGAGTCTCTCTGGCAAGACCCATGACACAGGCCCCCTAGAATAAGCAAGGCACATGGCTGATACAGGAACATGTGTCGTTAGTTCTCTCTTTATATAGTCTCTCTGGTTCTAGAAACAGCTTACCACAGCCGGCCGGCCAGGGCCAGCACACTGATGGGCTGGGTGGGGTAGACTATTTACAAGCCCAGTGCAGGGCTGTACCATGGCCGTTTCCCTGAACGGCTCAGCCATGACACCACAATAAGTTAGAGCCGGCCAGGTGGGGAAGGGTGGGGGCTGTACACACAAGTGCTGGGGGCTCAGGGCCTCAAATACTGTCGAGGGCCGGGGCTGTAAACATGGCCGGGGCGGCCCTGCCCACCCCTAGTGGTCTGTAATGACTGGAAGCAGAGCAGCCCGGGCAGGGCCGGGAGGATCAGGCATCCGACAGGCAGCTCTGGATCCGGTCCACCCACTGCTGGGCTGAGGGCACATCCTGGGCACAGAAGTTGTAAACGCGACGTGTCGTCTTCACCTAGGAAGAGCAGGTTACTGACTCCACAGCTCCTACAACTGCAAGCCCCTTGCCCCTAGTCTGCCCCACCCCCTGATAGAGGCTCACATCAAAGAAGGCCTTCTCATCCACAGTCTTAGGGGCACCCATGGTGGGTGTGCCAGGTGCCACAGCCTCCACTTCTGCCAGGTCGATGACACCCTTGCATTCTGTGTCCACGCGGTGGTCATAATAACGCAGCTGGGGTGAGAAGTAGGGGCACGGAGTTAAGGCAGCCCTAGCTCTCCTTTCCTCATCTCTGCCACTTACCACTCACCTGGTGCTTGGTCTTGTCTAAGACGAACCAGCGGGCTTTCCAGGGCTTCATGAAGGCCCCTTTCTTGTACAGGGTGCCCTCATAGGACCTGCATTTGCATCAGAATCAGGGTCAGGTTAGCTGTCAGGAAAGGAACCAGCTTCAGAAATGAGCTGAAGCCCCCCCCCCCCAATCTCCATCCTGTGACACTGGATTCCAAACACCAGAGCTTGGGTCTCTGGGAGGGAACCCTACATGCCCCAGAGCGAGAGAGGTGCTGCCTGGCCCCTGCTTTACTTGATGCCTCACTTATGGGTACCCCCTGGCCCCATCTCAACCTGCTGTAGTAACTAGTTCTACATCCCAAATCCCTTCTGATGCTGATGCTCAGGCAACTGTTCCTACCTTTTCCCACAAGTTCTTCCATCCAAAGAAAATCCCAAACCCCATTTGAAAATCACCCCAAGCCCCATCCAAGCCCCATTTGAAAATCACCCATGTCCCAGATCCCAGCCCAGAAGTGGCTACTTAGTAACGGGAGGTGCCTCTCCCACCTGTTCTCACTCTCAGCTGTCTGGAACTGACTGTACAGGGTGCTGGTGCTTCGGCGGGCAGCCTGGCGGGAGCTGGATGTGGTTGAACCACTGCTCTGGTCACTGTCCAGGCTGAGGCTCAGAGTGGAGCCCACGGGACCCTCCTGTAGATATACACCTAGCGAGCGGCGATGGTGGGGCACAGTAGATACCAAAAGTGAGCTGGGGGTACCCTGGAAGCAGCAGAGTGGGATTTATGTCAGGAATGGGTAAGCCTCCATCTTCTGGCAACACACCTACCTGGTCCTCCTCAGCCCAGTCTCCCACCCCCAGCCCCACTCACCCGTCCGTCTGGACGGCCTTCGAGGCGCTGCACTGCTTTCACTCGGTCCCAGGTGTCCTTCCAGCGTTCAGGAGGTCGACCCAGCTCTGTCTCCAACCGCTGCAGCTCCTGGAGAGGATCAGTGACCAAACAGCTACTTAAGAACATCCAGACTGGGCTGGAGAGATGCTCAGCAGTTGGGAGCACTGGCTGCTCTTGCAGAGGATCTGGGTTTGGTTCCCAGCACCTACATGGTGGCTAGCAACAGTCCATATCTCCAGTTCCAGGGGAGCTGACGCCCTCTTCTGACCTTCGTTGGCACTGCATGACACAAGTGCACTTACAAACAAATGGGCAATATACACATAAAAAATAAAAATATTAAAAAGAAAAGAACATCCAGACTGGGCCAGCAAGATGGCTCTGCTGGTAAAGGTGCTTGCCACTAAGCCTGACAACCTGCGTTCTATCTCCAGGACTCTCGACTCCCAAGAGTTGCCTCTAACCTCTACACGTGCTGTGGCACATGTGCACGCCCCCCTCACAAAATTGTAATCTAAATTCTTATTTATTCATTTAGCAATAGGCCTCGAACCCACTGTAGACCAGGCTGGCCTCAATCTCACAGAACTCTCAAGTGCTGGGATTAAAAGCGTGTACTTCCACACCAGGCTAAAATCAAATTTTTTAAAAAAAGAATATCCAGCCAAGCATAGTGGCACACACCTGTAGTCCCAACACTTGGGAGGCAGAGGCAGGCGGCTCTCTGTGAGTTCAAGGCCAGCCTGGTCTACATAGTGAGTTACAGGACAGCTGGGGCTACAGGGAGACCCTGCTTCAAAAAGACCAAAAAAAAAAAAAATCCAGACTGGGGGCTGGAGAGATGGCTCAGTAGTTAAGAGCACTTGCTGCTCTTGGAGAGGACCCATGTTTGGTTCCCAGCATCTACATGGTGCCTAACAACCATCCATAACTCAGTTCCAGGGGATCTGACGCCCTCTTCTGACCTCCGTGGGCACTGCATGACACATGTGTACTTACATACATACAAGCAAACTCATACATAAAATAAAAATAATAAAATATTTTAGCCAGGCACTTGGGAGGCACAGACAGGCGGATCTCTGTGAGTTCGCGGCCAGCTGGTCTACATAACGAATTCCAGGACAGCTGGGCCTGCAGGGAGACCGTGTCTCAAGAAGACCAATAAATAAATAAATAAACAAATAAATATCCAGAGTGGATTGTGAAAAGACAAAAGGATGGAAAATACAGCAGAGAACACATATAAAGAAAAAGTCTAGTGTGAAACTGGAATACAGAAGAATGTGGCAGCCAGAGGCACCAAACAGCATAACTAAGAGATACCACACCTACTTGCAGTGGCATATGCCTGTGATCAAAGCAGTCTGGAGGTTTAAGGTAGGACAACTGCTGAGAGAGGCTAGCCTGGGCTACATAGTGAATTCCAGGCTAGCCTGGAGTACAGTATGAGACTCCCCCATCTCAAAAACAAAGCAAAAGAACAGCACTATAACCCCAAACAGAATAGGTTAAACACAAACACAGCAGGATGTTACAGAAAAATTGTTGAATATTTAGGACCTATGAGGCTCTGGATTCAACCCTAAGTAACACCCCTCAGATACAACACAAAATCCAAACCAGCTAGAAGGCATGTACTCCTCAAAAGAAACTATCAGCTGACTTCAAAACACAAACATGGGCAGACTGACACTTCTAGTCATGACAAATTAGTCTCTAGCCCTCCTTCTAGACATAACTACAAAATAAAAACAGGAAGCAATCATTTACAGGTGTTAGGTATCAGTAAGGCAACATGGAGACAAGCAGTACTAGCACCCTGTACAGCCAGTTCCAGACAACTGAGAACAGCAGCAACAGGTGGGAGGCATCGCCCACTGCTCCACACAAGAGGAGCCTGGTTTTGGTCTGGCCAGAAAGGGAGGGGGAGCAGAACAGGGCACACTGCTGATCCAAAGAGGCAGAGATGAGAAGTTCAAGGATGCTAGTGTGGGGGATCTACTGGGCAGTCTACAAGAGGGAAGAGTACTGGAGATGG